TATATATGCATTCCTGGATGAGTAGTAAAAACTGTTAGAGCTCAACGCGCTCAACATACGTATGAAACAGGAAGCCGATGTGTGCAGGAGAGCTAAATAGACATCAGACTACACGCAAACATAAAGGGAACCTCGCCTTAAGGCGATTGAAGTTCCCCATTCATATATGCACCCAACAATCACGATCAGAGGGACAGACTCCTGACCACACTCCACTCATAAAGTGTTAGAGTGCTGAGCCAGATATTACCAGCTAGCACACACTGCACCGTAGAAAATGATTGCCATAAGGAATTGCAAACGAGTGTTTGGGTTTGGCCGTGAGTATCAAATAGTGGCCTAACTTAACATACCTGTGTGACAACGGCAAGGTTTAAGGACAGCAGTATTATCAGTAGGTCTCGATAAAGAGAAACCAGGTACCTATAAACCATTATCGGAACTGCTACTATGATGACGATTTGCTGCATGTCGAGAGAAAATCAGGCGCCACTTTTGAGAAACTCTCTATTTTGCTGTGGTGAAAACACCGTCACATTTTGACCAAAAACAGTCCAATACATGAGTCAATATACATATCTGTGGAGCCTCGCACTCGCAGTCTTAAACACCAGGACTTTTGCTCAGGGACGGTGCGAAATAGATAATAGTGATCAGTAATTGGCGGTTGTCAACACTACTCCGAGTCTCGGGGTAGTAGCGCAAAAGGGAAACAAAAAATAGCCCCGATTTAAAACAAATAATTATTGACCACAATGCAAGCCCATACATATGGCACCACTTTTGCTACTCCCCATACATCGCAGATTGTGCCAGATCGGGTTTTGAGAGCACAAAGTGGTCTTTCCGATTCACAGGCGACCTAATTCTTCCAATCAGGTCATCCGCAGAGTCGCCCACGGCCATAGAACAACACAACACGGTCTAAGATGAAACACAGCCCCGCGGCGCAATAAGCGAATCAACTACCACAGCAAGCCACACACAACACATCTATTTCACCTGAACCGTCCGCATGCTACAAGTAAGTGGGTACAAGTAAGTGGGTGTGATGACCCTCAGTCAAGCACCATACCTGAAACCAGAGAAACCAGGCCAGGCCAGACCGGTTGAATTGGCCGCAACCCGAATTAACGAGTGGACACACTTCGTCCAGGGATACCAGGGATCCGAATGTGATGACCGAGCCCGCGACTGTAAAGTGGTTGGGAATCAGTCAGCAACAAAGACACATCGGCGTACAGCACAGAACAGATGTGCCTACACTACTGAGCGTCAGGTCAATGGCACGGTCTAAACTACGCACTGCACAGCTCAGGAGGTCCATAAACCCTCCTGGTGTGACTACACAAGCAAGTTTCGCCTACTGTAGGATGTATGATCTACTGAGAGACCCAGATGTGTATACGCAAAGCACAGTGTCTTGGGAGAGCATAGGAGGGTTACGCTGTACATGCTTACGGGAACAAGTGTGGATAAAGTCACCGCTCAAAATGGGACGGACGGCTGCTACCAGCGTCAATGATACTACGTCATGATCAAGTTTGAACCGTAAGCAAACCAGTCCGTGAAAGACTCGGCTCCGGAACAATCAACTAACCTTTTTTGTACAACTGATATTTACCGCCGTCTTGGTTCTACGGATAACTCCCCCCCCCCCACGCCTCTTATTACATATACAAAATGATGTGTCAGCTACGAAAAGGCGCATTCGCAAACACGCAGCACACATAAAAACACAGGCACCAGCATATACATGAATATCAATGGATCGCGAAATGAAGCTACATACCAGCGATACCAACTCAGGCGCACATAAACATTTCACGTCTGCGCACATAAACACTTCACGTCTGCGCAAGTTGTGTCACACGCCGGGACGGAGACACACATGGAAATGAACCCAAGTATACTCATACTCAAAGACAAGCAAAGCAAGGGTCCCAGGTTCAGGTTTGGATTCGATATCAGATATGCTCATGCACACCGAGTATATACAATCGCATTTATACAAGAAATTCACCACACGTGTGGACACAGACGCAAGCATCAACACATTTGAATTAAACTTTCATTCAAGACGTGATGAACGCGTACACCCACAGCCACACACAGACGGGCAGACACACCCTACCACACTGAGAATAAACCTGCACACACTTTATGTCTGATTCAAAGTATCAAGCATGTCTGAGTTTGGCTCATACGAACGGGAGACTTGCTTACGCGGCACTATCGCACCATGCGCATACCTGATAGAATACTTAAAGCGCCGAACACAACCGAACCCAGCCAAGGAAAGAGTTTTGCATTCTTCGCTTGGTTCTTTAAGGCGACGGCTAATTCTTTCTCGGCCAAAGTCGGCTGTTGGTCTGTCGAATGAGATTGCTTTTAAGATTTATGTGTACAATATAAAGTGACAAGATAAAAACACCAAGCTCAACCGTTAATATGAAGTCGTTGATGCAAATGCGATAAGTGATCACTACCGATTATGACTATTTCAAGTAAAGACGTACGTGCATTCAGTTGCGAGCATATATACTTCGGGCGCATAACAAGAGCGCACCTATGATATAATTATAAATATAAGAAAATATTGTTCCAAAATCGAGTTAAGAAAA